TCATTCTGATTATTTTCTAAGTTGTCAGTGGAATTCAGGGACCTTTACAAGCCTGTGTATCTGATACATGTTTCAGGAAAACTAGCAAAAACTGAGCTGCTTGGTGTATTCTTAGGGTATAATGAATGGTAATACAAAGGGTGAACACTGAGGTTAGAGAGTATATCAATAGCAGGATTATTTGGAATAGTGAAAATGAAAACAGGCATTAAGAAGTATAGAATAGGACAATAAAATGGCAGAAAAGCTTCCCAGCAGGTAAATACAGAGTGATGCAAATCTTGATGATAGTTAACAGCAGTCCTAACTTTCATGCACAAGGTGATGAGCTCTAAACTGAGTTGGCCATTATTCATGAGAAGAAACATCTTATGATTTATCAGTGCTGATTTTGTTGGAAACACCAGCTTGCTATAACTGCCCTCCTTTCCCCCCAAAAACAACAACAATGAAGAAGAAATTGTTAAGAAAGGAATAGAAAATAAAACAGAAGAATCCTTATTGCATGAATTTGTGATTTATGCTTAATCACACAGCTTGACTGCAATGTGCAGCTTGGTATCTGATTTCAAAGAGGTTATTTAGGAATTTGAGAAGTTTTAGAAAAAGGCATGAAGAACAGTGTTGTGTGTGAAGTGGCTTTTACATGAAAAACCAGCTGAGTAGGCTCGGGCTCAAGCTTGGAAGAAACAGCTTACTGGGGAGTGAGTACTGTAGAGGTGAACAGAAGTAGACAAGCTGCTGGTTCTTTACTCAAAACCAAGAGCTAGTTGTCAAAGCTAGCAAGAGCCGCTCGGAGCAGACACAGTAGCGCAGTTCTTTGCATAATGGTAGTGTGTGTGTGCAGCTCCTCATGGAGATACTGCAAATATGGAAAGTTTACATAGTTCAGGGAGGATTGGACAAACCATTGAAAAAGAGATTCGCCGAGTTACTAAGTAGATAAAAGAAATTAAGCAGAAGAAATTCTTGGAATGAAAATAATTGGAGATTGGGAAAATGTTAGGTAAGGTGTGGGTAAAATATTTGCTCACTTTCTTCTTAATGTTGGTATCTGCATGAGACCCAGTTTTTTTTAGAGTGGGTCTGGAAAGGATGAAAGTGAACAGAGTTATCACGAAGTGTATGTTAAAGTTCTTTCCAGTTGCACTCCCTGAGCACTAATTGAGTTACTGGCCTAGCTTGACCGATGCCTTTGTTCTTATTGTTTCACTTAATAAAAATGGTTCCGTTGGAAGTTGGATTTTACTAAGAGCTTTGAAGTACCAAAACAATTGAGATCGTTGATAAATTTAGCAGATATTTAGAGTTTCAGAGCAGGTCTTCAGAATCCTAGACCTTTCATGTTCAGCAAAAAGCTGGATCACAAAGCCAGACATGTATGAGATTTGATATAACAAGAATGACTTCAAACTTCTTACAGTGAAAAGGACAGAATTTTAAGAATATGGAAGGAAACTGTAAGAAAAGTAAGACTAATATGGTAAGACAGTGAATCAGAAATGTTTTTTGTTCTACTCGTATGGTTACTGGATAGAAATACCACTTGTATATTAATTTTGTCTTGAATTGCAGAACTGTTTGGGAGTTCACTAGGACCCTTGTACTACAGAGGTTTCCATCATTGCCTAGACTGCTTAAGTCCATAAATTACCAGTATTAGATGATGCATAGCACAAAATTCTGACCAGATTGAAAACATTGCCCAAACTTCTGATTTTAATGGAGAATGTATGGTTTATTGATGGCAGGAAGAAAGTGTCTAAAGTTAAAATTTAATCTAAAAAATCAAATTACAACTTACTGTCAATATAAATATCTTTTACACTGTATAAACTCTCAAATACTAACCACTACCCAACATTACAGGTAACATGATACGTACTTACACTCGCTAATGTTAACAGGTATAAAGATGTTACGCTGTTTTCTTGATAACAAATACTTCGTTGTCTAAAAATTTGCTTTTAGCACTGAAATTAGAGCTTTTTGAATTTAAATATAAATCCTTATAATGTAAACTCTGTTGTACTGAAAGAGATGGGATGGAATTGCAAAGTGAGGATGCATGCAAAAGAGTCATGCTGTAAACAATAAACCACATTTCTGTTTCTTTGCCATAGAAGGTCCATTGTGGTTTGGGTGAACTAATCCTCCAGTATTGCCAGTTAAGTGTGATAAACCATGTTAAGGGATTATTATTGAAGAGACCGCTATGAATTTTTATGTTTACACTTGCTGTTTATTTTCATTTTCAGGACTGCAGACCATAACTCTGTACTTTTTAATTTTGTATTCAATATGGGAAGGTAATCCCAGAACACAGCTTTTTTGATGCAAAATCTGAATGCTTGTGTAGTAACAACAGCTGTCCCCTCACCATGTGGTGTCTTCCATTGCTTTACTGTAGAGATGAATTTTGGCCCAGCGTTTTAGTAATATTGGACACACGTGGTTCTAGGTGACGGAGCACTGTGTTTATGCATTTATTTGACTCTCACAGTTATAGTTGGCTACAGATTAGAACAGGGAGAACGCATTCACACCATGACCACCCTCGAAGCTGTTTGTAGTAGTTGGATCACAGTAGGCGCTGTTGCATCTGAAGACACAATTAACTGTTGCTGAGGAATTGCAAATTCACAAAAGCTCTTTGCAGCTTTAGGGGTTCCGAGTGGATTTCCTAAAAGCTTTTTCAAAGATTTCCCACGTTTATAGATGTTTTAGATCTTACATTCTAAAATTGCTGGCTTGAAATAAGATTAATCAGTTGATGTTTTAATTTAGCTAATGAATTCCTGTGCTGTGAATAAGCTATATAATTTGTTTCAGATCTACAAAATAATTATAGTTTTACCCTCTATTTAGGAAGAAAAAATTAATTCTAATATTTACAAGTGGTTAGTAGAGTCTTGAGCACAGCGAAAATACAGAGCTTACAAAGTAGTCTGAAAATGCATCTTACTGGAAGGCTTCCACAGCATGTACATCACTGAGGAGATCATCTTGATTTCCGTGTGTAATTGCTTAGATATGCTTTGGATGTGGTAAGAAAAATAGCTGTGGATCTATATAAAAAAAAAAATACCCAATAAAAAACCCCACAGTTTTGATATAAATTAAATAAGAAATTAATAAGTTAACTGCATATTAAGGTCTGATTTTAATGTATGAAATTTGACTATGTTTTGAATATAATTATTTAAACTAAAACATAAGAATAATTGTTATTTAAATGATAGCAATTTAGTTTCTATTTTATAAGTAGAACATTGCCCCCTAAACTTGCCTTCTAAAAATCTTAGAGAGATATCTTAACATAAAAGAGGGTATGGAGTATATTAACTTGCTCGATACAATAAAACCAAAAATGTTATTTGCAGTGTGGGGATCTGCTGTGTGTTTATCCTGTCTTCCTTCAGCCATGGTGCAGTTGTATGAGTGTGCATGTAATGTGCATGAGATCACTCTCACGTACACACGTTATTTAAACATCTCAGATTCTCTGCAGTGACTCACATATATATTACACTTGTATTAAAAATATATGAATATGAATGTCTGAGGCTTTCAGCACTGAATAAAGGGCTACATGGATCCAAACCAGGACGATTGATGAAATCCTTGCTACTATTGGCTATTATTTACTGTCTTTTAAGTGGCAGGTTGTATTTATGCCAATTTATCTGCTTCAGGGAACACTCTTGATAGCAGAACAAAGTGAATAAAAGTAGTTTGCTTTGCAAATGAATGCAAATGGTGGAGCCTTTCGGGAAGCCCTTTAACAGGAGCAATGCACTTTGATTATGAGTGAAGCTGCCATTTGGACATGGTGAAAAGAGCACGCTTGAACCATTGATTGGGGGAGACAGTAAAAAGTCAGGAAGGGCCCCGTTAAGCTCGCAGTGCGGCAGGCGGATGTCAGTGTGGTTAGAGCACAGTGGGAGAATGACAGGCAGGATTAGTGTCAGGGAGAAGCTTTGCTGTAGTTGTGGAGATGGTCCCTGGGGTCACTCACCTCTGACTGTTGTTCTGTGCTGATGGCTCTGTAATGCAAACTGCTTGATATGTGCTGTTCATTATCGGAAATGGTGATTAGAAGAGGTATGTCATAAGGAATTCCTTAAAAATAAATAAAATGGCAAACCAGTGATCGTAACAAAGGTTGGGCTCTGCAGATGTCGCCAAGGATGCTGCAAATGTCAGGGATGGTTACTGTGCCTTGTGAGGCAAGTGGGATTTCATGGCTTAAGCTGCCGTAATTGTGTGCTCCCCGGCTTTGTTCACTTTATTTGGCCATTATGAAGACAGCCATTTCTATCAGATTGTCTGGTGGTGTTAGAGTACAGCGTTGTAATGTATTTTGGTTATTGGACTGCGAAGCATCCTGTTTGTGGTGTAGCTGGTGTGTTGTTGCAGGGGTGGGGTGGTGGCCAATGCTCTTAGTGGAATATTAGAATCAACAGATTTCATTCCTGAGTCACACAAGAATGCTAAAATATGCAATGGCTGCAGTGACCAAAAGCTAGAATGACTTTTCTGTTCCATTCGGAGGATGTTTTAAATATAAAAATAATATTTATCTTTGCTGAAAACATCTTGTGTGAGAAATGACAGAAATGTCTAAAATTCTATATCTTAAGCTGCAGTTTAATCTTTAATAGAAGTCTTGTTGCTCTTTATCTTTACTGCACTTTTCTGGTGTTACATACATTGCATAGATGTCCTAATGTAAATTAAACAGATGCCTGTAAGTAACACACAAAACATGTTTTTCTTCTGCTAAGAATTTCTAATACCTCACTGTTGGTCTATTGTTCCCAACACATTTTCTGCCACAAAGCAGGGAGATCGTACCCAGATACATCAAACCATTGCTTTCTTTTTTTTTTTTTTTACAAGACTTGATTAATTCACGTGAGGAATTTTTCCAGTATATTACCTCACAGATATATGTCCAATATCCCCGCAGTAATGAATGTTTTACAAATGTTTTACAGGCACCTGAATGGACAGAAGAGGACCTCAGCCAGCTGACAAGAAGTATGGTTAAGTTCCCAGGGGGGACTCCAGGTCGATGGGAAAAGATTGCTCACGAATTGGGTCGATCAGTGGCAGATGTGAGTTCACTCAGATTTGCATTGTAGAGAGAGTGACAAACCAGAACAAGACAGGCAGTGTAGAAGGCAGACATATATGGGGGCCGACATTGTCTTTTGAGAGAGGCTACAATCCTTTTAGGACCTGGAAGTGAACCATTAACTAACTATGCACGAAGCAGATGTCAGCCCGTTTTTCGCTCCGCAATTAGCAGCTGTAACTGATCAGCTGTATGGGGGATTCTGGTGCTGGGAGACTCACGCTACTGTAACCCAATAACAGAAAAACAATGCCACTTGGGTTTTGTAGGGATCCTTTTAACTGCGAGCGAATATTTGTGGGACTTGGTTAAAGATTACGTTTCTGTTCTAAGCCGGCCCTTCAAAACATAGATGAGCTAATGGTGTTTAGACAGATGGTTTCCATTAATTAAACTGAAGTATCTCTGCAAACTTTAAAACAAGTTATACATGTGATACTATTTCAGTCCATTTTTCTGGATTATAGCTTGGGTAATAACACTGTGTAAAATGATTAATATCCTTGTTAATTCATATTTTATAGTATTGTACCACATATCAAAGAAAGCTTGTACTTATGGATTTTAAGTGTTATGATCTTAAAACCCTCAGGGGCCAGGCCGTAAAAGACTTTTCCTTTTCAAGCAATAGATCACTGGAACATGATGTAGTGTCTGCTGAGGACCCTTTGAAAGCCCTTTCAGCTGACCCTATTTTATAGGCTCTGGAGGGGTTAATGAGAATAATGTTTAAAGCTGTTGATGTATGTTTTGAGATTAGATATTCTTCATTTATTGTATTTCGGGAATTATCTTAAATAATGGGAAACACGGCCTCCAGCCAGAGCACAGCGTAACCCGCTGTACCCTTTGGGCAATCTGGGTAATTGTTTGTTTTTCGTCCTTGTTGATAGAATCACAAAAACATATTTTTAGAAGTTGCTTTTAAAGATTTTATCTGTAGAGTTATTTTGCTCAATTACTCAGTTGTACTAGAAAACAAGCCATTTACGTTCCTGTCATTTTAGAACAAGCCATATTATTTGCAAATAATAAGTGAATGTAAACAAGAAGTTATAAACCTGCTATGCGAATGTAATTGATTTTTTTTGTTGTTTAATCTGTTTAGGTTCTGTTCAGTGTTGTTCATCATAATGCCGAGGTGGAGTGAATATTAAAAAGCTGCTGTATTTTACTAAGCAGATTTTAATGGCAAAAATATTTCACGTGACTTGATAGTAGGCAGTACGCATGGGGAGGATCTTTGAGATTGCCTTGAGAAAGGATGAATTGGCTGCTTACTGACAGCACAAACACGTGGATAGCTTCCACTTATGCCCATCACTAAACTAGCACGTTGCCTTGAGACTTCTTGCAGCCATTTTCTGCTTTATTCCTTGAAACAGTTATAAGAGCATACATTACGTAAGGGATTCTTAATAACGAATTTGCACACCATACTTGCGTGCTGGCAGGGCTAGAAATAAAATTGAAGCTTACTCACTTCTCTGAGGCGAGAAGACCTCAGCACTGTGAACGGGGTAGAGGAATGAAAGATCTAAGAGCTGTCATTTTCTTGCATGAAAAATGGAAATTTCGGGGATTTTTGGGTGTCAGGCAAAGTCTGAGTGTAATCCTTTTTACTTCCTGCGGCCTCCAACTATGTGATGAGTTTGAGTGTGCTCTGTACAATCTTTTATTTCTCTAAAAATTTCACGCTGCTGATAGTGCTGGGTCAGCTTTCCCAATACAGACTATTTGGTAGTGTTTCTCCTCCCTTCATCATCACATGGCACAGTTTCAGTGGTTAGGTCCAAAAGGAAACACTTAAACAAAAGTTTCCTGGAAACTTTCTGTCTCAAACTCTTATTAGATCAGTAGCAGAGACGTGAAACTGGGAACTACTTCAGGAGTATCCTTTCAACTGCTTAACAGTATCTGCAGCATATCCTTTATACTTGTTACAGGAGACAAAGAATAGGACATACATTTATGGTAGGGATTCCTAAGTTTGTTTTGCTTACTTATCACTGTAAGCAAATAAAAAATGTTATGCGAGAGCCGCAGGAATTAGTTCAGTGTTGAACGTAAGGCAGAAGAAAGGTGCAGTCTGTGTTTCCTGCCCAAACAGCTGCTCCCTGTTTCTACTGAAGAGAAGCAGGGAGAGAAGGTTTTTTTTGTGTGCTCGAGGGACTGTTTTGAAACGGCATGTGCAGCACGGTTTGGGGTTCCCTTCTTTACATCTAATTTGGCATCAGACTCTGTCTTGGCTAAACTGTTATCAAGGACAAAGGACTGGAATACTCAAGGGCAAATTTGAGGACATATGAAATACTTTTTAAAAACTTCAGACCGTTTCCTGCTTGTTTTTTGTCGTGTGAAGTATGAGGAGCAGTAAGTCCTGGTTTTCCTTTCACAGCTAGAGAACTGTATAAAAGAGTGCAGTGTGTCCTTTTTTAACTGTAGAGTAGATAAGTAGGTATTAATAAAAAGTTTAACGTGGTCAAATCCAAAATTACCTTTCCTTTGCTGCTTGTGACTCCAAAGCTTTCTTCCTTAGCAAAAGTGAGAAAAATATTGCAGTACTTTTAAAAGAATAATCTGAAGTCATTCATGTGTACCAGAATAACATTAGTGAAATTCTCTCCTTCAGGCTGCCCCAAACAAATCCCATTTTAAACAACTCTTTTTTTTTTTTTTTTTTTTTCCTTTGTTCTTTTCAGAAGGAAATTTCCCTATAAGGCTGTATTAATTTTCACTGGCCTTTTTTTTTTATCTTGGCTTTTGTCAACTTTTTGGCTTTGTGGTGTTCTTTTAACTTAGTTTTCTGGGTTTATTTGTTTTGGAGTTTTTTACATCATTCTGACTTCTCCTCCTGCCATTATGTTACTGACTTTTTAAACAGTATGAAGGAAATTTTTAATGCTTGGTGCTTTAGTGCTGCTTTTTTATCATGTACAAAGAAGAAAAAAGTTTGTCTCTTGCTTATTTCCAGAGTGATTCGTTCTGCTTGGAAATTTCCCCCACCATTTATTTATTTGTTTGTTTATTTATTTATTCATTCATTCATTCATTTTTGCTGATTTGATACCTCAGAACCCAGTTTGCACTTGTCGAAACAGTATTCTGAATAGAGGCTTTGGGTTTTGAACCTTTCACGTTAGCAGAACTTCCTTAAGATGTTTGTTATCTGAAGATAAACAGGCATTAATTAATGACCAAAAAAAAATCAATTTGGCAATAAGTTGTCCTTTTTAGTTTGTCATCTCTTTCTCTCCTGGATCTGAGAGTGCCATGGTGTTTCCCACCATAGTGTGTCTGTCCCAGCAGTTCTGTAGAAGTCATTGGCTCACTGTCCAACTGAAGGGCTTTATCAAATAACACAAGTTATATTTTGCATCGCTTTGCACCTTTGCTGAGCTGAGTGATGAAAGATGGTGGAATAGTCTAACTTCTTAAACTACTCTTAGAAAGCTCAGAGGGAACTGCAAATACATTGCAAAATGAGTAGAATTCAAAATGATCAGAACAAATTAGAGAAATAATATGCAAGTGTAGGAGTATTGGTTGCAATAGGCAAATCAAACAGTCGATATGCAAGTATGTGCAGCAAGATAATGACAGGGTTCACAAATAAAAGATGGCAAACAACTAAAGTGCAGGAGAAATGCAGAGATTAGGAGAGATAATAAAGGTAACAAACAGCAAGTGTTTGTGACAAAGGGGAGCATCATACTGAGAAAATACAGGAGGATGGTAAACCTGCATCTACTTTTCTAGTTTGTGTCTAGTGTTCAGTATTACGCTTAAGCATGTGATTCAGTGTAACAAGGCCAGAGGAGAATAAGGAGAGTGGCTGCTTTTTAGAGATCTACTGCAAGAGATTATGAAGGAATTCTTATGGGCTGCGAACTGAAAGAAAATGTGATGTAAGCATTCAACTATCTAAAGAGAGAACTGCAAAAAAGGAAGTTGTTTGCACTCTATGTCAGCTTTACAGGGCAAGAAGTAGTTACCTGAAAATTTAACATACACAGCTGAGTAAGCTATGAAGGGGCAAAGATTTAAAAGGTATAGTAAAGCAGTGGAATAAGCTGCAGTGGAGTATCCACCTTTGAAGGTCTTTAAAAAACAGGAAAACATCTGCAAGAAACGACATCAATATAAAGATTCTGCCTCAGGTTAGGGCCTTCTCTTCATATGGTCTGTGATTAGACTAGCAAGTGCAAGCTATCTAGGAGGAAAGGGGGAGGAAACAAAACCCTTCTACAATTGGAAGCATGTGTGAACTCATTTTAAAAAATGTAAAATTAAAGCCAGATAGTCACTAAGATGGTTATTAATCACTGCATGTACCTTAGCTTGATTGTTCTTACATTCAGTAATTCCTTGCAAAGTCGTCTTTCAGATGCTTTTTCTTTTATACTGTTACTAAAATCAGTTGAGTTTGGATTGTTTTTTTTTATTTTGTAGACATTTAAGTCTGTTAATTCTGTTATTTCCCAAAATATCTCACAAACAAGAATAAGACTCGTTACATGGATCTGTCTACCAGATGCCATGTCCAAACAGATGCTTCTACACAATGTGATTCAGGACAGTGGGAAAGTGCCAGCCAAAATCCAACAATAACAGCTGTGTCCATACTGTAGTGCATGTGAGCTCATGCAGCTGTACTGTTTTTGTTCGTGCTGTCTTGTGATACCAGCATAAATATCTTTGCAGCGTATTCCTTCAGCTCAGCTACTTTAGGCTTGCTACCATGGTGTAGGCATGCTGTGAGAAGGGTGTTGCTCTAACTTTGGTCATATCAAGTATAGGGTATTTCTTATCTTGTCTCTCTTCCGGAAACCATCCTTCAACAGCTAATTAATAGTCAACCCAAAATGGATACAATTGTGCTCATTTTATCAGTATGTTTCATTATTTAAATGGCTAATTGACATTTTAATATGTGCATATTGGGGATTTATCAACCTTTTCCCATAAAGATGATTTTCA